CAACAAACTCTGAGTATTTCTTCTCTACAAAAGGGGGATTTTCCAGATTCACGGCCTTCTTGTCTATTAGAAAGAACCATGGTGAGAGTGAAAGGAAGTATTGAGAAAGGACCAATTTCTTTGAAAACCATATGTAGATATAAATAGTAGCATTTTCTGTGAGCAGAACAATGATTGATATATATATACGATTTTCTTTTCGAGAAAGAGTTGATAGGTTAATGCTACAGGACAGGAGTGCTTCCATTGCGGAAAGGAGCAACACAAGTGTTGCCGTTTGGCTGACCTTCCTTCCAGATCAAGTAGAATGAATATCTAATATTGGGGATGCTATTTTTTTGTGCTCTGCAAACAGCCTTGTGCTAAAGGCATGAAGGAGCATAACTAGCTAGGTAAAAAAATATCCAACCTTAAAGACAAAAGCAAGTGATTTGGAAAGTCATTTATGAGTTGGTTATCTGTAATATCAGCTATCTGATTACCTAGGTAATTAATGGTTAGCTAGTTTTGTCAGTCACCAAATCTGACCTATACGTAGATCTAATGTGTTAGTCTTGCACATCTTACTCCTTGTTGTTGTACCTTTAAACGTTGAACTTGAATGGCTGAAATGGAGCATCTGCTCTTCTGTGTGCCCTCTGCTTTCCAATATCTTTTGCCTGAATTGTGTGGCACCTTTAAGTTACTGGCCAATCCCCTGGAGAGACTTGAGGTTTTGACCCCTGCTATGTAATTTACAAAATCACCCTTCAACTTTGGCACTACTTTCCTATTACTTCTAACTACCTCATATTTTTTCTTCATTTCATAGTGAAAGGACAGGTTTTTCCATAAGAATTTTAATTGTCCCTGGGTGAGTGATATACTACTATATGAAACTTTGGGAGGAAATAAGTTACTCAGTAAAAGTGCAGAATTACCTTGTTGCATGATTCATGGTATGGTCCAGATTGTTGATCTGTTCTTGATAGGCGTGGAAATTTTAAGCTGATTAAATGAAATATTAAAACTGGGAAGTATTTTGTATTTTAGCAAAATGGGCATCTTACCACGAGACATGAAATAGCCAGAGAATATATTAAGTTTTAGGAGGTTCAGAGTGGGCTTTTTTTAAAGGGAAAAAAAACACCGAGAAAGTTGAGAGAATGTGAAATGCCCCAAGGCATATTCATTTTCATTCTGTGATGAATAGGAAATATAGTGCAGTAAAAGCAGAATTAATGATTCAAAAACAGCTGGAGATATTGAAACAAATTAATCATCCTTACCTAACTCTTATAACTGGCAAAGGGGCAAAGTGGGGTTGAAAGCTGGCACCTAAAGGGACACAAAATGTTGACACTGAGAATCCGTGACCAGTCAGTTGCAGGCCATTCACACACAACTACAACAAAGCCTGTAAGTGGCAAATCTCACTCAGGAATAATTCTGGGGTGATGGCCACTCGGAATCACTGTGAAATCTGAAATGTGGACACTTTTAAAGGAGATGCAGCAGTATTGCTTTCAAGGGCAAAGTCTAATAGCAAACGATTCCCCCAGGCTGGAAAGGTCCTCCTGGACCTGCTAAGGGGTAAAATCATTACAGGCCAGGGACTGCCAGTCAAGTTGGATCAATCACTGTAAACAAGTTCATTTTTAAAAGCTAAACATAACCCCTGCTATCTTATCCATGCTGTTTATGTGACCATTTTCTTCAAAAATGGTAGAAAAGTTTATTTTAGCCCAAACTCTTTCTTGAGTGACAAATTTGACAAGATTGGCATCCAATGTATTCAAGTTGCCCAAAGATGTTAAAAGTTCTTACCTCACAATTGGGGAAAGGCTGAAAATTGAAACATGTATATATGTATGTGTGTGTGTATGTGTGTGTGTGTGTAAAACCTATCCTTGCCATCTTCTCTATTGCTATAAGTTTTTGATTGCATAGACTGAATTCTAGGAGGCAAGTCTGGCCTCCAACTGTTTGTTTTGTGGGTTTTCTTCTTGGGTGTCTAAGGAGGCTAAGGGCCTCGTGACCAGGGCCTATCCTCACTAATGAATTTGCTGGTGACTTTTGAGCTAATTGAGAACTCATCTGACAGCTCTGTTTTATATCATATGTATCCCGACATCTATTTTGGATGGGAGAACTGTATTCATGTCCAAACCTATTTCAACATCAACTTCTAACCAAAAAGCTGTCTTAATAGAATTTCCAAGACCAAATCACTTGTTTAATTCTATACCCAGTGACTTTCAAGAGTGGAGTGCCTATCAAAGAACACACTAATTCATGATGTTTGCAAATGTCTTCGTGTATTTGGTCGGGGTCAATGTACAAATGGCTTGCTCAGAGATTCTGGAGAAGAAGCCCTCCTGGGACTCTCTAAGGAGGAAAGGAAAGCACTTACCTCAAGTACATTCTCAGGACCAGGCCTTGAATGATAAGCTTTATGTTTGTAATATGTGAAATGTCGCCTTCTCACTGAGCTTTGCTGACCGCTCTATTTAAAATTACACTCCCTCCTACTTAATTTCCCTCCTTAGCATTTATCACTTTGCATCATAAAACTTACATGCTTTGTTAATTTTCTGTCTTATTCCTCCAGAATATAAGCTTCATGAGAGTAGGAATTTTGTCCACTTCTCATTGTTCTATCCCTGGTGCCTAGAACTCTGTCTGGCAGGTAGTAGATAGACAATACATCATTGTTGAATTAGTGAATGAATGATCAAATATAAACATCTATGGATGTAATCTCATTATCTTGTGTGCCAATGGACTCTGCAACAGAAAGACCTGGGCCGGAACCATAGTTCTGCCATTTACGATCTAAGTAGCTTTAGACAAGGGACAATCTCTTTGAGTCTCAGCTTCTTCATCCCTGAAAGGCAGATAATGATAGTTTCTTTGCCATAAGGTTGTAGTAATAACAAAAAAAGAACATTCCAAGACACACTTTGCCGTGATCTTTGGCACACTGTAGATGTTCTAAAAGTGATGGCTGTTATTATTGTTGTTGTCTTTATTCCTAAACCATAAACTAATGCAGAATAATCCAGCAAATAGGCAGAATTCCACACTTACATATTTCTTCCCCCATCTTTTCTAAGAGCTCTGACATAGGGCTAGGAAGAAATTGAATGGTGAAGAAGCTGCCTTTCTCTTGTTCATGTTTTGCAAAACCCTTTCTTGGGGTTGGGGAGTGGGGAGGGCCTCCTAGACGTGACCCCATGAAGGGCAGCGTGCAGCAGCTGGCCTGGCTGCTGCCAAGTTGTGTGCTTTGTAAATCAATAGGGCATTTGGGTCTCAGGCTATCCACTCTGTTACCTTCCTCAAGTCTTAAACACACTTTAAAAGCAATTATTTTGCTTCTAGCTTTGAGAAGGAGGACATGAAGAGAGGCCTGGCTGAGGCAAAGCTCATATTTCAAGGCATGTCAGGGACTGAGATCGATGACTTGCAGATAACAGTGGAAATGGATGTAAAACATAACCACAGGTAGACTCATGACCAGGCCCACACAGAGCTCTCCCCCTGCTCAGAATCAAGAGGAAAGGGAGCCACAACATTCAAAAACAGGAGCACAGAGTTTCAGAACGAAGGAAGGCTCAATAACACCTGATCTTCAGGGCTCCTGGAAATAATAGTAACGTCTTGGAATTGTGCTACACTGGGGTTTTATGAGCAGAGATGCATTCAAACACTGCCTACTTTCCTACATCTTGGTCTCTGTATTTAATTGCTTGATTAGAATTAACAGGAAAGACTACTTTTTAAAAGCACTTATTCTATGTCTAAGTGCATGTTTGGTCCTTGCAACAAGCTATTGAAATAGGAAATATTTGGTCATGTGCCCATTTCACAGGTAGGGGCTTAAAGAGATTAAATCACTTTTCTGTGATCATAAAGCTGGTAGCACAGTCAGAATTGCCACCTAGGTCTGCCTAATTCCAGCTCCTGCACCATTAAACACTCTGCTTTATGTCATAATACCGCAAACGAAACGAGGTCCCCCACGATGCTTTCAGAGCTCCCAGTACTTCTTCTCCATAGCACTAACCTTAATTTGTAAAGAAATATAAGCGTGTGATTACTTGCCTAATGCCTGACTCAGTGCTAGACAACATATCCTTTTTTTTTTCCTTTGGTATCACTGTATTTGCAGCACAGAGCACAGACCTAATTCATGACAGAAGCTCAGAAAATATCTGTTGAATAGCGAATAAATACAAAGTAGACATAAAATAAGATTTCAGTTTAAGATTGAAATTCATTTAGTTTTTTAAAAATAAATAAAAACACTCAAAACTCACTTATTCTTTGATTTTTTCACCCCTTCTAAGGATAAAATCAATGTGTAAGAGTTTCTAAGAATCCTTCACATAGTTATTCCACAATAACATGGAAAATTCAAACAATGTGTAATTTATCCATTTATTGCCTGATGCGTCTACTAAACAGCTGCCAGCATGTATCTATCTTGTATCCTCTTACCTCTTTTCATTCCTAGTTCTTAGAAGGCACTCTAATATTTGTGGAACAAATCAATCAAAAATACTGCTGATCAGCTGTTGCTGATATTTTAATAAAAGTAAAAATGCTGGCACATTACAACCATATATAAATCTTTTTCTGATCTGTGTGAATTTAGAGATTTTTCAGAGCAAGTTACTTTGTGGCCATTCAAGACACAACAGAACAATGTCAACCTAATTCAAGGAAGAAACTCTGTGGTCATGAACCCAGGCTAAAGAGAGAAAGCCTCGCTATTTTAGCTTGATTTTCCCAAACAAAGTTGGGAGGTAAACCACAGCTTCTGACCACGTATTTAGACATTTGGAAAACTGGCTGAAATTGCTTACATGTAAACAGCAAGAGATTAATACTGTGCTTTTGAAACTGACTTTCATGAGTTCTGTGAGATTTCACCACACAAAAGGCTAAAATGATTGTTCCCAGAAGTAAATAAAAGTAACGTAAAAATTTATCATATCCTTCATTTATCTTTCTCTCAGGAAAAAACAAAACAAAACAAAATGAAAAGCAAAAAGAATCTGAAAGGAAAGGAGTGGTGATGAAGCATAAAGATGGAGAAATGTGCTATCAAGCAGGAAGAAAAGCTTTCCAGTAAAATGCTGAATAAAAGATGGGAATACAACGTGAGAATCAAGAAATCTAAGAGACTGGATGCCGAAGCAGAGGAATGAAGCTCCCGGCTGGTGAGTCAAATGCTACAATAATCCAATTTTAATTATACGTGAGTCTCATCTCTGCTATTTGTTTAATTTCATTCTCCTCTGCAAATACAGAGACAGCTGTTTCCCTTTTGACACAATTATCTTTGTCTAGAAGCTTTCGAAATGTCCCTTTGAAAGGTTTGCAGAACTTACAAGAAGCCTGAACATATTAAGTGACAGATCTTTTGAATTTTAGACAAGGAAAGCATTTCACTCGATGTTTGAATATAAAAACCTTAAATCTAAAAGCCAGAGAATCAGGGACATTGAATAAAACACTGAGATTCAAAGTGGGATGAAGAGCAGCACTTATTTGATGTTGGAAGTCAACAACCTGATTATTAGTTTAATTATACTATGAGTGAAAAATTGACCCAAGGTGTCAACCCATTGGCTAACAAGCAACCAATCAGATTGTCGTTATTGAGAGTTTTAACAAAGATATTCAGAATCTATAGTCAATTGTTGATGGGCACTGGAACATAAAGTCAAGTAGAATTAGGACTAGTGGTCATGTTGTCCATGTCAGTCAACAGATAGAAAGAGAAAACTGAGGAAGTCAGTCAAGTGAGAAAAAAGACCCAAAGACACAAAAGGGGAAAAGACCATGAAGGAGACATAAAGACTGAATGTGTGGCTCCAGAGAGAGAGAGAGAAATATCTTCCATTCCTTTCAACTTTCCACCTCCTCTCTCATGAACACTTAGTATCCAAATTTGTGACAAACAAGTAATGGCCAATATTATTGAGCATATATCCAAGACATCGTCCATCCATTATTTCATTTCATATTCAAACAACCCTATGAAGTCAGAACTATTATTATTCCCATATTGTAGATGATAAAATTGAGTTTTACAGATTAAGTAATTTCCCACACAAGTCTCATATTAGTGACTGGGAGTCATATGATTATAACCCAATTCCATCTGATTCCAAAGCTCACACTCTTAAACCCAACTATACACTGCTTGTTGTATCCTTTAATTACCTTCCTCTTTACTTGAACAAGCTTGACAGTTTCTTTTATAGAAATCAGCCATCCCTGATTAAGACAGAAATAAAAATTCCAGACACTGGGCAAGGAGGGAGACCTCACTAGATACTGAGGTTGTGACATGGAGGCAATTCTGTCTCCATACCAACTATGGAGACAGTAGGAAGATCAATGGTTGCCAGGGGTAGTGGGTGGGAGGGATGAATAGGTGGAGTACACAGGATTTTTAGGTCAGGGAAACTATTCTGTACGATACTACAGTGGTGGCTATGTGTCATTATACATTGGTGTGAACCTATAGAATGTACAACACCAAGGGCGAACCCTGCTGTAAACTAGGGACTTAGAGTGGATAATGATATGTCAGTGTTGGTTGACTATAACAAATGTCCCACTTAGGTGGCAGGGGATGATAGTGTTGTAATGGAAGAGGTTGCGCATGTGTGGAGATGGGGTATGTGGGAAGTCTCTATGGTTCTCACTCAATTTTGCTGTGAACCTAAAAGCCCTCTAAAAAAGAAAGTTTACTAATTAAAAAAAATACTTTGGGATATAAGGATTCAGCTTTTAATATGTTTTTCTACCTCACTTTCCTCCTTTCCAGATTTTTACATTCGGCAAGTTGATTGGTATAAAACACACTTCTTGTTACACATAGTGTTCTGTTGTTCTCTCAAAACAGTGTTCTGACATTTTTTTTTAAATATGAAGTATTTTTTGTGATCATGTAATTTTTTAAACAGGGCAGGAGAAAGACAGGGAGAGAGTACGCTTTCAGTCACAAAGCAAATGAAGCCAAGGAAGGTGTATGCTTATGTTTACTACCAAGTAAATGTCAGAGGACAGTTACATTTGCCAAATTCTTTGCGTGTATATGTTTAAGGCTGTCCAGATGCATTAGATGAACACAGCATGATGATGGTCATACTCTCTGCTCTATATTTCACTTCTCCGCATTGGATCACCTGAATATAAATGAAGGTCAGAACATTCATTTAAATGCAGTACTGGGTGTGGTTTTGAACAAACTGTCTAAAGAATGTTCCTTTCCACACACTGGATTTTCCACCTCTTTTCTTTGGCTATGTAGGGTTTCTGTTGTAGAGAAATTTGAAGGAAGCTCAGTAGAGGGGAAAGAATATCCAATTTGATCCTGGAGTGGCCATTGGCTGGCTATGTGAGCCTGGGCCAGGCACTTGCCTAATGAAATTGAAAACCGTATTATTTACATCACAGGGTAAGGTAATAATAAGACTGTAACTGAGATAGAGATATAATGGGCTATCATTAGAGTCTTTAAATGTTTGTGGAAATCATTGGATGATAACAGAATTGTTTCAAGGAAGAGCCACTTTAAGCTCCACCTTAGCTGAAGGAAAAATTCAGTTATTTACTATGTGCACAGCACTTGCTTTCTCATATAATGATCTCTGCGAACTTACAATTGCACTTTGGGTCTTTTGATTCACAAGATAACAGAAGGTGCAGGATATCAAGATCTGAAGGTGACTGCAGAGAAAGGTGTTACCACTCTCTGCCTGCCTCAGGCCCCTGTGCAGATCTGGAACAAGTTCACTCAGCAAAGGAGAAGAGGATGGAGAGGGCGTGTTGCATTGCAGCTGGGTCCCCGCCGTACAAGAGGGTGCTGACTGGGAGCAAAGAAGAGGCGCTTTTCTCCTTTAACTGGGTAAAAATTATAGGTTCCTTGTTCCAATCTCACATTCCTTTAGTTTGTAACATCAGAGGCAAGTTTTTCATAAGCTGTGTAGAGACACATACACATTTACTGGTAGTAGTAAAAATTTGTAAAAGAATAATTTGAAAACAAATGAGACTTTCAAGAGAGAAGATGTAAGTATTCAATGTTCTCCTCCCTCCTAGCAGGTGAACAGCCTACTTCTAAGGAGGGATGCCCAACTTGAGAACATTTGTGATCATCAGCTTCTCGTGAAAGGAAATCAAGTCATAAAGCCAAGCCAGGGTGTCTCAGAACAAAGCAGAGAATTTTCTGGAGTTGGGGGTATGGGTGCATGGAGCTGAGGAGCAAATGCCAGAAGTCACATCCAATGACTGAGATCTTCCCAAAACGAGGAGCATTACATGGGCAGAGGGCATCAAGTCACAACGACAGAGTGGGCAGAGAAACCCAACAACAAATAAAGGGTATCATGGTGAGCAGACGGTTATTAACAGCATCTACAAGAGCCCATGCAGGTCTGCAGGCACTTGTAGCAATTTGGCATTAAAAGGTGCCAACAGGGTGGCCGGCCCCATGGCCGAGTGGTTAAGTTCACGCACTCCGCTTCGGCGGCCCAGGGTTTTGCTGGTTTGGATCCTGGGCACGGACATGGCACCACTCATCAGGCCTCGTTGAGGCAGCATCCCACATGCCACAACTAGAAGTACCCATAAGTAGAATATACAACTATGTACTGGGGGGATTTGGGGAGAAAAAGCAATAAAAACAAAAAAGATTGGCAACAGTTGTTAGCTCAGGTGCCAATCTTTAAAAAAAAAAAAAAAAGGTGCCAACAGGGAGGAGCAGAGAAAGCTCAGGTCACCATATGGCACTCGGTGCCTCAGGGAGTGATAATACATGGAGTTAATGAGAGGTGGGGATAAAGATTAACTAAAGACTAACAAGACCATAGAATTTATTGCCCAAACAAGGCCAGGACAATTTGGGGAGTGAAAGTGGGGACTATGAATAATCATACCAGGCAACTCAGCACATAGGGGCTCTCCACCAAGAGCAAACAATGCTAGAGCTGAACGTTGGCTCTCATCAAGCCATTGAGGCTAAGGGTTCAGGCTGTGGAGTCAACTGCCTTGGTTCAAACACGAACACTGCTACTTACTGACTGTGTGATCTTGGGCAGGTTGTTTAACCTCTCTGTGCTGTGGGAAGCTGAGGCAGCTTTCCACATGCCACAACTAGAGGGACCCACAAGTAGAATACACAATTATGTACTGGGAGGATTTGGGAAGAAAAAGCAGAAAGAAAAAAATTTTTTTCTTGAAATAAAGTGAAATAACACTTGATGGAGTTGATAAACAAAAATCTCATTAATTGCAATGTCACTAATTAAAAAAAATTGTGTGGTTACTTGAACCAGTGTGAAGTAAAGTTATGCATACAAAATTTGTGATGATCATGCATGTAAGTATAAATTTCCAATAATCCAGATTACAGTTGGAAAAATTAAACTCTAGGAGGAAGAACTTTCTATGCCTTGTAGAATAAACCTTTCAATATTCATATGTAACTATTCTGCCATTTTATTAAAGCAGGAAACCTCAACATTGAGGCAGTCCTTTCGCTGGTTTCAGAGTACTGACTCCTTCTTTCATTTTGGCATTTCAGAACCTTGGTGTGATTTCCCACCATTTTTATTTTCTAGCCTCTTCAATTTATGAGCATTCACTCTGATCATACTAGTTACAATTCATCCCTGACAATGGATAGCAATTTATGAAACAATTATTGTATGCCAAATGGAATGCTAACTGCTTTATGTAAATTATTTCAATTAATCTTTGATGTTGGGACTATATCATCCCCATTTTACAGGGAAAGCAGTGAGGCCCAAGAAAAGTTTTCTAAGTCACCTGTGTATGTCATTGAGTAGGAATCAAACATAATTCAATCTTAACCAAACTCAGGCTCTTCAGTCCTACCATAGTAAGTGAACTAACTATACAATTAGAAGCAGTCTCTCTATCTCAGCCTGTTCACTATGAGCAAGACTAGATAGACTTGCACAAGTTTTAGCTATTTTTCTCCTTGACCAATACTTTTGGAATTACCAACATATATCTCTCCCCAGCTTTGTAATGCCCTCCAACCACACCCCTCCCCCACCAAATCTCACTATGGAAGGTTTTACTTAAAATCTGCTGTTCCCTCTAATAATAATTCCCCTGCTTTACAGAATGTTCTCTCCCTGGCCATAGAAACAAGGTATCTGTTTGATTTTAATCACTCTCCTTACAATCTCAGCTTAAGGGGACACAGGTAAAAACAAGAAAAGGAGTCAGCTGAAAAGACAAAGTTCTTGGCTCCAAATTAAAAACAATTCTGAACACTCCATATCTGAAAAACGTGCAAGCAATTCTTGGGAGGAACTTGGAAAAGAGCTTGCCTCTTACAGTAATATGTCAACTGTCAGCCTCTTAACACTGGAGTTTAAAGATACACACTGTTCTTGTTACGGAACACGTGTTCCTGAGGCGACATCTGCAGCAATTTATGACTCCTTCAAAATCAGTTGCTAATTTCACCTATGTTTGAAATCCAGAATTTATCTGTGTTTCGGGAGGCATATAAAATGATCTTAAATGAGATAATACGTGTAAAAGCCAGTGAAAAGCTAAAAGCTGCTTATACGTGCAAGTATGATTGTTATTGAAAGAGCATTAGTTATGTAATGCATGTCAATCCCTTACACAGTATTCTCCTGGAGAAATGTTACGCCTTTAAAACTATTCCAGTAAATCTCACTTTAAACGAAACACAGACAGACCTTATTTTCATATCTCTTGTTTTCATTCTCTGAGTGTTGACATATTTCAAACCAGTGAGTGAGTCGACGAGGTGTTCAAATGGAGCAGTGCGGTCTTCCCTCCAGAACACTGTCACCAGTTATCTGTAATACAGCTGACTAGGACACAAAATGCAGAAAATAACTCTTTATTATTACTTGTACAATCTTTTCAGCTCAGACTCCACTAATTTGAACATTTCAATTATTCAAACAAGTCTATGCTGAAGTTTTTCTTTCCGTTCTCTCTGATGAAATTGGTTGTTAAGCAAATGAAAGTATAAATAAAGAGTTCAGAAGAGAAAGTCAAAAATATTTTTTTAAGTTTTGAATACATCCCCGTGCAAAATAACAAGAACTGTAATGATTAAATATAGGTAATCATGTATTACCTAAAATTTCATCTCTTTAAGAGAATTTTTAGTGGTCGCCCTCAGGTTTACAATATACATACTTAATTAATCCATCTGCCTTCAAATAATATTATACTGCATCACATGGCATGCAAGATGGCATTTAAATTGGTTTCCTTATATAAATAGATCGAAATGAAAATACAGCTTGAGCTATAAAGCTTGACATTTCAGTCTATTTGCATTAATTCAGACTAACCATTCACTTTCCGTCTCTTTACTCTCAGTTTACTCTTAGATTTGGGGGTACTGGAAATGTTCTGTATCTTGATTTGGGTGATGGTTACATGGGTGAATATATATGAAAATTCATTGTGTACTTTATTACATGTATGTTATACTTCAATTTAAAAAATATGACGCACAGTCTGAGTCTTCATCATTGTTCCCCCAGAAGGCAGTACCACATTACAGAAAATATGGATGGCACATATTTTGAAGGCTGTCTGGGCTCTTTGTGTCAACACTCAGAGCTCAAGAGGCTAGAGTCTCTGTTGATTGGTTATTACCACTCTAATCCTAGAATGCCTTTTCATCCCAGCCAGCCAGTTTACAGATGCTGTCTATTGCTCAAAAAAGCCAGAGTCGCATGAAGGAAAAGGAATCTTAATCACTGAAACAATAACTTACAGCCCACATTACAGCTGGGGGATGGTAGCAGATATTTTGTATTCCAGTCAGGTGTGAAGAATGCCATCTTGTTAATGATGGGAAATCCCAGCAAACTGAGAATGATTCACATTCACTTATTCATCGAGCACTTACTGCATGCTTATTATGTGCCAGACTCTGTGCAGGAATACACAGTCATTATTCCTAGGAGCTCCCTGTATTTAAGGATATCCAAGCAATCGCAAGCCAGCAACATGGTAGATATATGACAGAGGGAATTGCAGAGTGCCATCACAGGGTAGGGTTTGGGCTCTCCTCCAGCTAGAGTACAGCAAAGGGCAGTGGAGATGGAAATCTTCTTGGAGCATATGAAGCATGATCATTGGAAATAGTATCAATCTAGTGCCAGAATTCATCATTCTCCTACTCTCTCCCTTCTAAACATACTTCTCTCCTGTCAGATTTACCTTACTTACACCATTATTCTTCCAGTTGCTAAAGCAAAAAATCTAGGAGCCCTGCTCGTCAACATGTGTATCAATAAAATGTCTGACTATTTTATTGACTGAATTATATCAATCATTGTCAAGCTAATTGTGCCATTTAAAATCATTTTTAAAGAAAAGACTCTCATCGAGTTGTTTCACTGGCCAGGTATACTTAGTATATAGGTGCAAATACTCTTTGAACTGAATTGGTTTTTAATCTAGGCCCAGTTGAACTCACTTCAGAGACAGGCTTACCCACCAGAGACATGGAAGCATGGCTGAGAATCTAAGATATGATTTCAACACATGATAAAGCAAGGCTGTTTCAACAGCGTGGGAGGTGCAATTCTCTAAACAGCCAACACCAGCTTTCCATATCACACTACCTGGCAAATCATTGTTTTCTTTTCAATAATCTTTGGCTTACCATCCTTAGGCAATGGGAAAAATTAAAAGGGAAACTTCGAGCCAGAAGGCTGGTGGAAATCCCCTAGTTTTCAATTCTGCTCTACTTGGATCCCCAAAATGATGTTTCAACAAATAAAGATGTCAGAGTGAAGGTAGACTCCAGAACTAGGAAAAAACCCATGATTAGATCTCCGATTAATCTCATGGCACTTCTTCCCCTTATGGATGCCTATGGAAAATGAAAAAAACAAAGGAAAAAAAAAAGAACCGTTGTTCTTTTTTAATTTGGGATTTGGGGCAAGAAATTAAATGCCAATAATTTGGGGTCTGTTTTTTACAAATTGAATGATACTTTAGAAATAAACTCTTACTCAACCCTTCCAATATAATTGATCACCTTTCCCTCAGTTGTCTGATTTTAAATGTATGTTAACAAGTGGTTGAATCCTTTCTCTAGGGCTTTGATAAGGGTACATACAGAAAAAAGAAAAAACAGGAGCAGTGATCCATGCCAGTCTCCAATGGTCTGAAAAGTTCCTAACTCAGTCCTAGAGAAAAGGCATAATATGATAGAGAATGGGGAATATGGGGCCAAAATCTAAGTCATATTCATGTATTTATGTAAATATTTAAGCGTGTGTATTAAGAAATTCAATATACCTTACTGAGTCCTTACCTTGTGACAGGTGCTATGCTAGGTGAACAATGGTGAGCAAGACAGATGCAGTTTCTTCCTTAATGGGTTTCAGAGTCTAGGAAGAAAATGAGAATATAATTAGATATGCAAATTACTGTATAATGTAAAGTGGATATGCTATGAGGAAACTGAATAATTGGATATATAAGACTGAAACTCAGAGGAGAGATTAATAATGGAGATGAAAAGTTGGGGGAATCAACATACCAGTGTTTTCCTAAGGCTACTAGAAAAACATTGCTAACCTAGGGTGAGGGAATAAATACAAGACACAGGGAACCAAAGAACACTATGATTTAGAGTGTGGCTCAGAGATGGAGAAACCAGCAAATAAGGCTAACTGAAAGACCTAGGAGAAGAATCAGGAAAGAGCCATAACACAGAAGGCAAGTCAGTGGTTCCTAGGAGTGAATATTAGAGTCAAATGGTGTGGAGAGGTCCAATGAAATTAGTACCTAAAGTGCATATTGAATTTGACAACATGGAAGTCACTAGTGACCTAAATAAGATCACTTTTAGTGGTGCAAAAAAGCAGAAACCAGATCAAAGCAAGCTGAAGAATAATGGGGATTGTCCAGGCCAAGTTGATAGAATGAACACACATCTGATTCGCTTCCTCCCAAAACTGCAGTAAGACTGCAATAAGGGGACTTTTTAAAAAAAGATACAAACCAAAAAAGATGGAGAGAACAGGAGAAAAGACAAAACTTTGGAAGCTTGAAAGCAGATGGATGAGTGGGAAATGGCTTAGCAGCCTCGGGAAAACTGAATTCCAAGCTAGTCATGAGGAAATATGAGCACAAACCAATTCATACCACAGAGTCTCCAACAGACAGAGGAATTAGCAGCAGCTGGTAACTCCAGAACGGAGGGGTTGGGGAGCTGACTAAAATGAAAAGGACTGCGTGAAAGTTGTTTGAAAAACAGATTCCTAGATTCCCTGTCCCATTTCACTTTGTTGTGTAACTGGCCCTCCTCTACCCTGCAGAAGTCTAGAGGGTTTTTCTCTATGGAAAATAAGAGAGAAATTCTCTGCATTAGTTGAGAATGTGAATGTTATACTAAAAACAAGGCAGATTAAATGACTATATGCATATTGAATGCTGAACAAGGTCATCCCCTGTCTTTCCCTGCTTGGCGTCAAGATCACAGGGATTCAGAACATCCTCCTT